ACACACACACACACACACACACACACACACACACACACACACACACACACACACACACACACACACACACACACACACACACAGGTGCGTTGTGGAATTGTGCAAACTGTTGAGCGACGGTCTGTTTGGAGTTGGGGTGGGGTGAGGGGGTGAATAGAGGTGGAGGTGGAGAAAGGAGGCAGAGGTGTGGAGGTGAAGACAAGCTCAGCGTTCAGAAACAGGCTGTGTTTGTGTCCGACGGCAGCAAATCAGCACCTGAGGTGCTGCACAGGGAAGGGGGGTGTTGTTGGCATCCTCTGCTGCCTTGTCTCAGCTGTGAACAACTGATTAGTTAAATTAGTACAGAATATCGTATTAATCTTGATGAACAGGGCATCATTTGTTTTCTAGGTGTCTGTCCGTTTAAGCAGATGTGTGATTAGAATCAAATGTGAAATTAGTGCTGATTAATAACGCCGTACGTATGCATGTAATTGAATTAAACCCTTTGTGTTCACTGTGTTAGTGTGAATGAAATGTTCACCTGTTTCTGTGCTTTTTTTCAGCTTTTTTCCAGCTTGCTGACACGCTGGAGAGAGAAGATGTCAGTCTGTCGGACCATGGCTTGTTTAATGCAGGCCCCAATATTTGGTTTCCAGGATTTACAGCTGGCTGGCAAATTAAAGTTAAACAGCACTAAGTGTCTCAGCAGGGTGTCGGAGTGGACCACCAGGAAACTCAGGCTGCTTTTACTCCGCTGGAAAGATGAACACATTTCTTTTATATGACACCCAAGCAGATCATTTATTGCTTTTACATGCTGTTTCTAAAACTAATGGATACTTTATCATATCTGAAAATTTCCATGGGCTTGGTTGAAGGTAAGTACTTTTAAAAGACTACAAAGGAAAGTCTTGTAATGACCTCTGCCACATGTGAAAAGTGACATGACGTAGCATTATGCCCAGATTGACACGCAATGTAAGGTGCAGTACTGAAAGTTTTCAATATTTATCTGAATATATACCAAGCCGCTGTTTTGTCTGAGTGGAAGGATTTAACTGCTAGCAACACCAGCAAGTCCAGGCAGATGCTTCAGACATTGTCACTGTTTGTCATATCAGCTCTTGGCGACCCTCCTCAAGAAGACAACAAACTTCAAAGTATCATTCTAGTGCACTTTAATGAACAAACAAAAAAATAAAAATAAGACAAGAGCGATACAAATTTGGCTCGCCTGCACAGGTGGTTGACACAGATGGAGACTTTTTACTTTTAATTTGGCCAAAATGATTACCAACAAATTGCAATGGGAAATGACAGGTTTACACATTTTAGAGAGAAAAAAAAAAGATTTATGTGAATTTTTTTCCATTGTAGTATGTATGGAAAGTGTTTTCAACTATTTTCAGACTCTATTAAAAGGGGGGAAATTAGACAAGGTGCACAAAAAAAATGTATATTAGAGAAAATCTAACTGATTTAAAGTCAGTGTTGGATCTGCATGTCAGCTATTCGGCAGTCCAAAGACTCTGTCAACTCAACTTTTTTTCTTTTTTTAACTCTGTCACTAGTTCTTAGTATAAAAAGTAAATAAAATTAAAAAAATAAAAATAAGCATTTAGGTTAGATTAGGTCTCAAATACAGAGCCTAAAATTTCCAAACTCACTGACATGTTATAACATGATGACTTTGGTTGATTTCCAATCAAAATACGGGGCTTTGTCCTCAACCCTGAGGTTTAGGAAAAAGGTTTGTTGTTACATTAATCCACATACCGTAAATGATGATGTGGATGTAAACAGTGTAATGGAAATTATAATTTTGTGGATAGGAACACATTGCTTACCACTATGTCTTAACATTTTATTTATTCTACTAATTTTCCCAATTTTCTCATTATAAAGTCGCAGTTATTTGTTATTTAATTAAAATAATTAAAATAATAACCTGACATATGTTTTATTTAATATTATTCAGATCTTGAATTATTCCAGATTTGTTTGAAAGTACACATGAACACAGGCATAATTTCTTTACACACTGACACACACATGCAGCCTTGTTCGCTGGTGAGATCAGAGAGTACTGCCGCAAACAGGAAGCAAATATAATCTAATAGGAGAGGCTGTTTGAGCTGCACGCAACATCTCCTCTGGCCACACTTACTGTGAAATATCCATGAGCTTTAAAGTCACTCTGTGTGTGTTTATTTTTTTTTTACTGACACATGCAGGGGGAAAAAAAAATAAGAGTGCCCATGACCAAATCCTTTGCCAGCAGTGATTTGAGTTAACATGCTGGTTGTGAGTCACATCAGAGTGAAACTAGTTGGATTTGGCTCACACAGAAGCTCATAAACTATCAGCTATAGAGAGGCTTTATTTACTGCAGAGACACAAGTTGAGCCAGGACGATAAAAGCGGAAAACAACCCTGAACGCACGCACACACACACATGACACACAGAACCAACACAGATATGGACAATATACGGTGTGTAAAAGATTATCTAGGACTTCAGAAGTTCAGTTCTCCCTTTGATGCCTGACCTACTTTATATCCGTTAGTTGGGTAAGCTTTGGCACAACTTCAAACCTCTGTAATAAAAAAAAAATACATTTCATAACACATCCTAAAACACAGTGTGAAGTTATTCATTTATTCGTTAGAGGTAACAATAGCAAGGTAGAAGCTGTTTTGCATATCTTCAGTATGGGCGATGATCTCTGAGTGGTGTTTACACTGCCTGAGTGCCCTTCGGCAATTCTTTTGACTTGACGTTATGATTTATGAGGGGTGGCCATGTTGACTTTTTGGTGTCCGCGTCTCAAAGAACTTCTCTCATAGTGTGCATCAGGAGGAAGAACATATTGTTTTTATCTGCAATTTGTTCCAATATGATTTAGTCAACAAACAAAAATATAAAAATATGTTCTTAGTGATGTAAAAGTAAACTAGTGAAGTTATTTGGCTCCATAAATGCATCAAAGCCTTAAAGTAGATTATTATTATTAAAATAGGAATAAATTATCTTAAATTAATGTCATCAGAGCTGACTCAAAGCACAGTTCATTAATTATACAGACTGAGAAATGATTTAAGTTTTTAACATTTTAACCTTGTGCACCTGAAGGAAAGGACATTATATTGCAATATTGAAGTAATCTGTCAAGACATCAGCCAGGACGTTGAAGACGAGGCTTCATGATGAACAATTACTCCATTGTGAGAGTAATTATGAGAGTATACCAAGTTAGAAAGCAGCTTAAAGAAGAGTGGCCGTCTCAAAGTACTGATAAAATCTGAATGCAACGCAAAAAAAGATGCTTAGAAACAAACTTGATCAGTTCTGTTATGAGGAATGAGGCCAAGCTCCTTCAAACTGTTATGAGAGACTTTTGGAGATGCTGTTTTTATTTTCCAGTAGGACTTGGCAGCTGCTCTCTTTGCCAAAACTACCTGCTTTAGTGTCCATGTGCTTGACTGGCCAACAAACTCACCTGACCTATAAACCACAGAGGGAATATGGAGAAGAAGAGGAACAGAAACTGTACAAAAGACACATTTTTCAGTAGGTTGACGTATTCTCTATTAAAAGTCTCGCTCTGTTATATGAATATGAACAGAAATGCTCCTGAAATAAATCCCTGGGTGCCACTGAATTTCAATATTCCAGTTGAAGAAATTAACTGTTCAATGATATTCCAAAATCATTGCTGCGTTCAATAATGAAATCATCGCTTGTCACTGTGTTACTACTGTCATTGCCGAGTCTTCTCTGCTAAAGTTGTCTCCTCTTGTCTCAGGGTAGGCGGGTTTTCCGCCAGCAGGGTTTGGTTGATTCTGTATTGATTTGTTGGAGAGCCAGAGGGGGAGGGGGGCGAGGAGAAGGAGGAGAAAGTGAAAGGGGAGTGGAGAGGAGAGAGTGGAGGAGAAATCCCTGTTTGATGAGGGGAGGGAGAGATGTGATTGTTGGGTGTCGGAGAGGAGGGGAGAGCGATCATAATCAGAGAAAAAGTCGGACCGCCGAGCCAGCGAGCGCTCCTAAAACACGTGGAAGCTGGGAGAAAAGTAAAAGTGTCTTCGGAGGAAAGTGACTTCGCACTTTGTTTTCTTTTTTTTTTTCCTCCTTCAGCCTTCTCCTCCTCTTCCTCCTCCTCCTCCGCCCTGCATTCCGCGGAGCAGCTGTGCTTTAATGCCCCTACGCACCCGAGCAGGAGAGGACGGAGAAAAGAGTGAGGAAGAAGAGACAGAAGAGGAGGTGAAGAGGCCTGGACACCACCCGTCCCCGCTCCCTGGGACTCTGTCCACTCTCCCCTCCTGGCCCTGCATGGACGGGGATGGGGAGAGCCGGATGCTGTTACCGCGGGGCTGAGCGCCTCGCGTCCCCGTCTGCGGTGCGCCGCTTCCGGCCGCTGCTGCTGCTGATCATCGGTCTCTGCTGCGGTGCTCACATAGGTAACTAACCCTCTCAAATCTTTAGGTCAAACCCGCCGCCGAATCTGACATTTTACACTTTACTTGCGCACTTCACCGTTTGTTTAGACAACTTTACATCATAGCTCTTAATATCAGTTCGTGCTTCATTAAGACTTCCGATAATTTACGAGTTTTTAAGCGTTTGTAAGCGTTTTTGCGTCGGGGCCCAGCACAACTGCTGCCTGACAAAGGCTCTCTCCAAAGCGGCAGTGCAGCAGTCTGAGCCCGGATCGAGTTTCTCCTCCTCTCTCCTGGGCCGTCATTCTCCTGTCTGCCCCTTAATGGCTCATGGAGGAGGGGAAGAGAAGGGGGAAACAGGGCTGCTAACCTCTAATGCTGCCCATACATAACAGATGTATTGAAATCCAAGATAACGTTCAGTCTGTGGCGTTGCTGGGCATAAAAGAAAGACACAACAAAGTGGTATTTAATTCCAACTGGATCATCTAGATTGGAGAAGAAAGCATTAAAAGTCATCAAAGATTCATTTAGTTTCTCATTGTTATATTTAAAGTTAATCTTTTATTGTGGAAACTGTTTAATTTGCACATATTTGAGCTGAGAATCAAATGTTCACCACAACCTTGCCTTTCACCCAGCATTTTGATGTATTTCTCTGTTTTGGTTATTATTTTTTTTTATTTATTTATTTATTTATTTATTTATTTTGGCCAATCACACCCCCTGGGTATAGTTTAACGCTGCTCGGCAGCGGGACAATCCCCCACTCTCTTTCTGCACACACACTCGGCCCTGTGGAGCACACAGAGCCCAGCTTGCTTGAAAACCCTCTCGGCACCTCCTGCCACACATGCCTCACCAGGAAAGAATGTGTATTATTTGGTTTAGTGAGACAAACAGAGCGGCTTATTTGCTAAAAGGTGTGAATAATGTTTTGTTTGTGTTATTTTTGTTGAGACATATGTCATCGGCTGACAGCTATACGAGTGTTTGCACAGGGAAGCAATGAACGTCTGGATTAGCAGGGGCTTTTGTTGGCGGGGTTTCGGTGAGTGCATGCTGGTAGAGAACGTGAGAGAGCGCTCACAACAAGGTGATCAATAAGCACTTCACAAGCCGTTCCTTCGGCAGAGAGAATCCCAGAAGATCAGTTTTTTTCTTTTCAATCTCATCTCTGCAGCTCAGGAAAGGTTAAGAGACAAAGAACAGATAAATAAATTTGACTCTGGGTCTCCTGACCTCTGTCTGATGGTGGAGAAGCTGCCTCGGGATGCAGGGAGCTGGTGACCTGAAGCCGGACCAAGTGCAATAATGGAAGAAGTAAAGAAGAAAATTGAACATAATAGAAATATAGAGATATGGGTATCATTCTGCAGACGGTATTGTGCCTTTATTAGAAACTGTGTTGCAAGGGGATAATACACACAAGCCTCTGAACACATGAGAGCCTTCCACAGAGGTTTCTTTATTCTCCTCTTAATAACATTTTTAAGCCTTTTCAGTATTCACCACCTTTCCTGGCTTTAGCGTAAGTTCCTTATTTATATGCATAGATTGGCTTTTCTTTTGAAAGAACAGCTATGAATACCTAATAAGATTACGAGAATCCCCCGAGAGCAAAGATAAGATAATTCTCTTTAATAAGTAACCGTAGATAGTCGGAACATATTTAATTATCACATGAGAATCTCCTTATGGAAACCCAGAATCCATCCAACGACGGCGCTTCAGTGACTCGTTTGGAGCTGCTGCAAACTTTTCTTCAGAGGCTGCTTGTCTGTTTTAATCTTTGTAAGTCAATTGAGTTAATTGAATAAACAATAAAAGATGACTTTCCCTTCCGTTTGAATATAATAATGTAAAATTGTGGTTCCAGAGTAAAGTGGGAAGTGTCTTTTATCAAGATGTACAGTGGAAAGGTGGTTGGAGTTGATTAGTCAGGCTTACCACACCTGACTTTAAATGGCTTTGTTTTTATTAAACCTGGACAGGGTCATCTTCAAGGCTGAAAGCTACACAAAAGATGTCTAAAGGCAGAAGTTTGAGCTGCAGAACAAACAGCCTTCTTTGCAAGAAAAAGCCCTTTAGCTTTCATTTATCATAGCTCCCAAACCTTAAACCATTTGAACTCCGTCCCCTCAGACCCCTTGCAGCGGAGTTCGGGTGCTGCAGGTCTGATAGGAGGAGGAACTCGGCAGGCGTTTGGACAGACACAATGCAGCCTCAGTGCAGCTCAGACGGTCTGTGCAGCCTGTACAGCCTGTGCAGCCTGTGCGTGTACGTGGGGGCATATCTCAGGGGTTGGTGTCAGTATTTAACAGGCTGGGGAGAGATTCTGAAGCCTGCTGCGAGTGGGGGGGCTCTACATCTGTACCCTGATTTAAAATCGCTTAAACTCGGAGCAGCACTGCCCTCACATGGTGGGACACAAATGCTTCACACGTCTTTGCTACTTATTAGGAATAATCTCTGTGTGAAACTGATGGAGGGTGCCTGTTTTTTCCTGTTTTTTCTTCCTTTGCTCAGATATAAGAGTCATACCACCATTTTTTTTTCTGCTTGTGTTTGTGTGCAGCCGGCCCCCTCTCTCGCCTCCCTCTCTCTCTCCTTCTCCCTGGGCTAATCTAATAGGAGCACGCCGTGACTGATGCATTAGGTCTGGTCTCTAATCTCTCTCTGGCTCTAACTCTCTCTGTACATCTGATGATCAGCGATACAAAAGGCTGTTTTGACCCCCGTTCCACCCGGAAATGTGGACGCAGATATAAAATCATGGACAATTTCAGACCAAGAAATCAGTTCCCAATGGTGTGATGGTGAATTTTTGATCATGTGTTTATTCTTTTTAAAGTGAGGGTTACAAACATACAACTTATCAAAGTTTCTGTAAATCGTGACAATACGTGGCATTCATTCCCCTTGAACTTTTTCGAAATTGTCACGTTATGGCCACAATCTTGAGTGTTTTATTGGAATATTTATGTGGCTGGCCAGCACAAATTAGCACCTAATTGTAAAGTAGAAGGAAAATGATGCAGCAATTAAACATATATGGTGTATCTGCACATGTACTATGAAAATGGCCACATATTTTTCAGATTTCTGTTGAAAAGTCGTACGAAATCTACATGACTAACGGACTTTTGGGCTCAAATAAATTCCTTTCGCGTTTCTAAATGAAGACCTAGAAGGATAATTGCCACCTATGCTTGAATAATCTCAAGTATTTCTGAAGAGGTCTGAATTAGCCTTAGGTCTAGGCTTTGACTATGCCATTCTAACCCTGTATGTTTAGTGCCTGTATAAGGTGAACTTGATGGTATGCTTTCCAGATTAGTTAGTTCAAGTTCCCATCAACTTGCTGAATGTCTCCCCGCAGCATAATCCTCCCTCCTCCATGCTTCAAGATGGCGATGATGTGTTCAAGGTGATGTTCAGTGTTGGACCCGAGGTCAATAAACTACATTTCTGTCTCCTCTGATAAGAGCACATTTGTTGTGTGTTGTCCCTTAGCCTAGCGCAAAGTTCAAAACTGGCTTTTTATTGCTTTCTTTCAACGTCTTTCATTTTCAAACTCCTATTTATGAAGTTCATAACTAATAGCTGTTCCCTCCTGAGCTGTAGATCTCTGCAGCTCTTCCAGAGTTGCCATGGGTTTCTTAGCTGCATGGTATCCTGTCAGATTTTTATTTGTAAATAGTTTACAGAAATCATGTTTCTTTCTTTTCCCCACTCACAAACGAACGCTTCATTTTGTTGTTCTATCATATTTACATTACAATTCATGGTTAGTGTGATAAAATGTGAAAAAGTTCTGGGGTTGGGAATGTTTTTGCAAGGCTCTGTACGTGCAACATGCCGGCTCTTTCCTGCTCCATCTCTCTGTGAAACTCTGTTTTAAACGCTTCTTGGCTCTCCAGACAGTATTATCTCACTACTGGAATGAAGTTGCTTCATCGTTCCTGTCTGGGCGCTCTTTGGTTTATTACACTTCAGGTTTATTGCACTCACAAAGCGGCAGTACTGATTGATCAAGACTTTTAATTGGCTGCTGGTTCTTTTTCTTCTTTTATTGGGTTGGACTGTAACACCGTAGAGCATTGGGAAGTCTAAGATCAAAGACTCACACCAACCTTCATAAAAGATCGGGCTTAGATCTAAGTGATCAGACGTTTATGGTTGGCTCGCTAATGCAAACATATTCATTTTGTCTTTTAAAAGGGGTACCTCTGACTCTCTTTGTTTGTCCCGTTCAGGTCAGTGTCAGGTGGCTACCACCCAGTGTCGGATCCAGAAGTGCACCACCGACTTTGTGTCCCTGACCTCCCACCTGACGCCCGCTGTGGATGGCTTTGACACCGAGTTCTGCAAGGCTCTGCGCGCATACTCAGCCTGCACCCAGAGGACAGCCAAGGCCTGCCGGGGAAACCTGGTTTTCCACTCGGCCCTCCTGGGCATCTCAGACCTCATGAGTCAGAGGAGCTGTTCCAGAGATGGTCCAACTCCCTCCGCGCACCCCGAGATCCCCCATGAGCCCTGCAACTATCACAGCCGCACCCAGCACACCCACACACACTCCCACTCCCACTCCCACGGCCATGGTCACAGCCGCTCTCGGCCCGGCTACTTGTTCTGTGGGCTGTTTGGAGACCCGCATCTGAGGACATTTAAGGACAGCTTCCAGACCTGTAAGGTGGAGGGTGCGTGGCCTCTTATCGATAATGACTATCTGTCAGTGCAGGTCACTAATGTTCCTGTGGTTCCTGGCTCCAGTGCAACTGCAACCAACAAGGTGAGAAACTTTGAAAACGCGACTATCTTGTGTGTTTTTCTTCAGATTTTTTTGTTCATTTGACCATTAAATTTAGACAGTTCTGATTTCTCCAGCAAATTTTTGTTCCATTAGCATTAATTCCTGGCATTAGCATTAATTATTCATATCAGGAGCAGACACAGTGTCACACTGTCGGAGAGAACAGTTTTGTAAAAGAGTGCTAACAAATATTTGACGACAAAGACAAAGTTATCACAGGGTTAGCATTTTAAACTGTGTTTAGCATCTTCTGCTAGCATTGCGACGTTCGCTGAGACTTCAAGAAGCGTTCCAACATTTCCAAGTGTCCTATAAACAGACAGATGTTGAAATAATAATTACAAAAAAGATAAACAGAGCAACTTTTCATAACACAATCTACTGATATTCTTGTTTCCTCTTTGTCTCTCTAGCAACCTAAATGAGTTTCAACTTCCTTTAAATTAGCATCTTACATCTTTGTGCTTTGTTTGACTTAGTATTGAAAATGGGTAGATTTGAGTGTTCTCCCCTCAGTAGCAGTGCCCACACTGAAGAGTGTTAAGTACATAATACAGTCCATTAGAAAAAGATTGTATGTTTTATTTCCAAACCCAACTCTACACATCTGTAATATCCTGGTTTTTAGAGAAAAAAAATACTAAGAATGTGAGGCAGACATAGTTTGTTTTCTGTGTGTGTTTATTTTTATTTGTCACATTTCTTTGCCACCCAATAAGAAATCTTATCAGTGGGAAACCAGAAAACACCCTTGCTCTACTTAGCTCTCTTGCAGACTCCCTTTGTGTGTCTCTGGCTTCCACAGGCACACAGGTGCAAAGCAAGCGCCCTCGATCTTGTGACCGCCTCTTGTGACTGCAGCAGTGCAGCAAACCTAACTTGGTTAACGGCTACATATAGCCTGACCGCTAATTTGGCGGAATGAGATGCGTGAAAGGAGCCACTGTTTACTTACAAGAACATTTGGAAGCATTTGTGTGTCTATGTAAGGAAATATGGGCTCTATAAGTTCATAAGTAGCACTCCTTGCAGTCAGCTTAAAGCTCTGTGTGTGTTAAAAGGTCCCTGTGCAACAGCAAAGATTCACGTACGCACGTCTGTGCACAGCACTGCACGGAGGACGAGCTGCACAAGGTGATCTTTGTGGTGTTAAAGAAGCAATGTTGATGTTTCCCCTGATGATTTGCCCTCTCTAGCTTAGTGGATAGCTTTAATTATTAAAGCACATGCACACACACTTACTCAACAGCAGCGTGGCATAGACTCGCGCATGCAGGGAGAGCAAAAAGCAGGTTTTCTACACTTCGCAGCTAAAGGTTTGACCTTGTGTCAGAGGTGGGGCGAGTTATTAGTCACGACTATTAGACTCGAACACACACACAAGCACACACTTTTATATACACCCACATTAACAGCCCTCCAGGCTTAATGGGCTGCCAGGCCTCATTCCTCACGGCTGTCATGTGAACAAAGCAGCCATTCACCGGAACTGTGATGCCGGAGCTAACCGTAATGCTCACACACCACACCCTGTATCCACCGCTGTGTCTGCACGCCCCTGGAGTGTGTGTGTGCGTGTGTGTGTGTGTGAGTGTGTGTTCATGTGTCAGCATGTTTTCATAGCTGTGTCAAATTACAACTTGTTAGAAAGTCATCAAGTCGTTCCTGAAATATTGTGAGATGATTGTGGCTCACTGTCTATTGATTTGTTTTTCCTCATTTGAGTGATCAATGCCAAATCAAACCCAATATTTAGAATTTTTTTTAGGATTTGATTTGCTCAGTTCAAAAATATTTTCAGCTAATTTTATTCTGGAAAAAACTAATAAACAACAGACACAGACAAAAAATAAAAAATAAAAGAAAGAGTTAGCAAATATGCACCAAATAAATCGTTGACACTAACTCCGCCCACAAATTCTTTAACCTGATTCATGTTTATGTTAAGCAGGAATTTTAAGACTTTTCTTTCGATTGATGTCAATCACTGCCAAGCTGGACGAGCTCAGGGTCAGTTTGACCTTTGACCGTTTTGTACCTATGCTCTGCTATTTTACTTGTGTCTGTAAACCGCTGCTAATTTTTTCATTTTAGTTACATATTTTCAGGAATCACAGAGTTAAATTGTGACTACAATGCTCAGTCTTAACACTCTCTAATCCTATTAATCTTGATGGATTATGACACCAGATCAAACCAAACTCTAAACGATCTACTGCTGACTGATATTATTTACTTGTGGCAAATATCCATGTCTTCCAGTTGAAGCCTTTGAGTAAGTTACAGAAAATCGGTAAAGCTGGTACAATACGCTGCAGCTGTTGGATTCAATTAACTTGGTTGGTGAAAAAGAGCCAAAAAAAAAACGTGTCCAAAAACGGAAACAGTTAAAATGACCTCTGGGTGGCATTTATCGTATTGTATCGTAGCATATTGTAGCGCATTGTATTGTTTCGTATCGCTTATCGCTTATCATATATCATTGCTTGTGAACAATTTTTTATCATGATAGGAATTAAAGTTTATTGTTGTCATGATAAATTTCAAATAAGGATGGTAAATGGAATAAATGAAAAACTGAGAGTACGATTGGAAATGTTATTTTTGCCATTTCCTCCACTATTAGTTCCATGAGCGTATCAATACATTCAAAATTATGGATAAATGCAGTTCACTTATATAAATCATACTTTTTACAGCAAGTGGCGTCCTGAGGAAGCCTAGTTCAAACGCCAATATTTTTCAAAAACAACATTAGTGTTTGTGCTGCTATTTATGCTGTGCCATGCAGTCACAACCATACAGTTATAAGTAATAAGTAAATTATATATATATATTTTTTATCTTTATCACTATCAGAATAGTACCACAAAATATTGTGATAATATTCTAAATCCATATTGCCCACCTGCTCCCTACCACTGCTGTTGCAGAGCAGGTGGCCAAACCAGATAACTCAGATTAGTTATCAGTCACATCATAGAATAAATTGACAGGAATGACTCCCTCTCAAATTTGTCACTCTGATTCTGAATCTTGACAATGCAAACTGTTTCCCTCCTGTTTCTCACTGTAGATCACCATCATCTTCAAGCCTTATGAGGGCTGCACAGACCAGCGGGTCTATCAGGCCGTCACAGACAGCCTCCCTGCTGCCTTCGATGACGGAACGGTGAGCAGCGGAGACCCCATCCACACCTCCTTCGGGGCTGACGGCGTGGCCGGGAAGGTGCGGGCTCTGTGGATCTCTGAACGCAGCCCCGGGCGCCACGTGGAGCTGCATGCTGGCTACATCGGCGTGACTGTAATCATTCGCCAGCTGGGGCGCTACCTGACGCTGGCTGTGCGGATCCCAGAGGAGCTGGCTCAGGCCTACGATGACACCCAGGACTTGCAGCTCTGCCTGAACGGCTGCCCCAGCAGCGAGCGCATCGACCAGGCGGGACACCTGCCTTTGCCGCTTGCTCCGCCTGCGCTCGGCCTGCAGCAACAGCAGCTGCGCCGGCCCGGCTACGCCTCACAGACGCAAGCATACCCCCACGGTGCCACACACGTTTTTGCCGTGGACGGGGCAAAGGAGCGCTGCAGCGAGCAGCTGGAAGTCCTGGACATCTACTTCCACTCTTGTGTGTTTGATCTCCTGACTACTGGAGACGCTAACTTCACATTAGCTGCACACAGCGCCCAGAAGGACATGGAGAGCCTTCATCCACACCGGGACAGATGGAGGATATACCCCCGCGGCTCTGCAGCCTCTTACTTCCACTCAGACTCTCAGCGTATCAAAAAGCTCGCTCTGCTCCTGCTGTGTGCTCTGAGCGTTGTGTTCGTGTGAGAATGGCGGTCCCTGTGAGCCTGAATGCATGTAGGCCCGAGAATGTGCACTACAAAAGGAGCTTAGAGAGGATTTGGTTAGCTGAGCACTGATACTGAGCACTGACGCAGAAAAAAGCAGCACGGGGAAGCCTGGCAGTACTACCTGCATTTCACCTGGCAGAGTCCGAATCATCGAATGCAACTGACAATGAGAAACAATGTTTCAGTGTGGGTGAATCATCTGTAAATAGTCCATTTTTCTTCCTTAAGTGCACAGTGTGATCGTGTGTAGATTGTTTTGTTTATGTAATTTTATGTGACTTTTTTAAAAAAAATACCTCAGTCAGAGGAAGTTTGTTTTTAACAAAAGCACTTTATTTTAACATTTTTTACACAATGCCAGTCAGTGTTTGTTTTCTTTTTCACCAAAAACCAATAACTGTTCAAGTATTGGTTGCTCCTTTTTTGTTTGTTTGTTTGTTTGTTGGCTCCTCTCAGAATTAATTGAATTCAAGGAGCTGATGCTAAAATGAACCATTCTTCCAGCAGCTGATCTGAGTCAGTCAGCATCTCATCTAAAGTCATTTAATGTGAGCTTTTCTGTTGAATGTATTAGGTTTGTTGTTGCAGCAAATACCATCAGTACTACTTGTTTGTTATTTGATCCCAGCTGTGTGTGTGTGTGTTTGCAAGAGTTTTGGATGTTTTTTTTAACAGCTGATGAATGTTTGCTTTATTTTATGTAACTCACATTAGAGTTGTTTCAGCCTCTTTGCCAACATGTAATGATTTTAGTGTTTTGTTTAACAGCACTGCATAAAACAGTTTGTACTTTCCTGTAAGTAAGAACTTACCTTTCAGAACTTTTTTAGAACTTGCCAAGCACTTTCCCTAAAACTTTCCAAGAACTCAAAGTGTACTTTCTGGAACTTATTAGGTACCTTCCTTCATCTTTCTTTTAGGATTCCAAGGATTTACCACATATTTTATGTGTGTTTGAGCTGGAAAACCAACAAAAAGTCAACATTGGCCGATCACAAACCTCCACTAGAGGGCGACAAGAGGTCATACAGCTGGCTTCAACGTACCTGCTCTCACTTTATTGACGTTAGAATGAAAACTTAACTCACCTTAAACATTTTTAGAAATTAAAATGCAATAAAATGCAATATTATTGAAACTTACTGATTACTTTCCAAGAATTTGCAGAGTATTTCCTCTTGCGAGTTTTTTTTTTCTTTTCTGAAACTTACTTTCACAACGTAGCTACATTATGAGGAGACTTCTTGGTAAGCTCCACAAAACATCCACAGTAAGTTTCAGAGAGCAAGCTCTGTGATCCTCGGGGTAGATTCCTGGAAAGGAACCAGTAAGATTATTAAAAGTTCCAGTAAAGGCCCTCTCATGTACCAGAGACTGACATGTCACAGGAAAGTACAGACTGCATTATGCTGCGCTACCCATTTTTTGTTTTGATTTTTACCAAAGACAAATTGCATGTCATATGTACACATGAATCATGACTCCCCACCAAACCAGCACCTTCATCCCCTCTCTTTCTAAAACTTGATACTGTAAACCAGTTTATCTTGCAGCAAGATGCTCCATATTGGGATAAAAGTAAAATCCTGGAGGTATTTCAAGGATCTTCAGATCATGAAATGTGTCTGTGTAAGCACTGTGATGTGGGAATCAATGCCTTGTAGAATTTTTCTGCTCCTACGAAAATGTAACATTATGTATATTTATTCCCAGTTTGTTCAATCAGCTTTAGTTTTAGCCATTGTGTGAACTCCTTTCTTCATGTGAGTGTTGGTTTGGTGAAGAGTGACTGGTCAGTGTTGAAATACCTTAACTTATTTATGAACGTAGTGTCCTGTAGAGGATGTTAAGCTCCATATTCTTGATGTTGGATAATTATTTAAATAAAACGTCAGATGTGATTGTGCTGCCACCTAGTGGTACTCCCTTGCTACGTCAGTGTGTTACTAAAAGCGCTCAAAAAACTAAAAGAAAGGAAGAAACGATGTGTGTGCTGGTCTTTCATTTAAACATGATGAAGTCAAAGCAGTCATGCATTATTTAATATTTATAAACGTGACCTATAAAATCAGGATAAGGCTGCTGAACAGGTTGTTAACCCTTTCTTGCATAGTGGTCACTACAGTGGACAGCTATCTAAAATCCATTTTCTTGTGCTTCTTGTGGTTTTTTTATGTTATAGATGCACACAGACCACTGAAGTGGACACTAATCCATCATAAAATACACTATCAATTACTGGCCATCAGCTGCAAATGCAAGAAATGATTTTTGTTAAATCCAATATGGCCGACAGACAAAACAGCATGCCGACTGACCTGATCCCTCCTTCTACTGTAGATGAAGGTCTTGCAGGTAAAAAAAAAAAGTATTGACATCAAATAACCCCTAAAGAATAATACTACTGATGCATTTTTCAAATAACAATTTTGTATTTGGAGAAATTTACAATTTATCACCTAAATAAAATAAAATAAAGATTTTTTTTCACAAAAAAATTTTCCTACATTTTTTAATGCCTTAAGAAATTTTTTTTTAAAAAATGGGGAAAAAAATCCTGACACAAAGGATCATAATTCATGCATGAAAGGGTTAATGTCATAATAAACAAAACCTATGCAATCCATCAGGTAAATGTGACAGATTTAGATTTAAAGCCCAGTTTCTTCTGCAGTCCTGGAAGGGAAATGATCTAAAACACATTTTAAACCTTAAATCACTGTTCATTAAACTTCAGGATATTGAATAAAACGGAATTACACAAAACTTAACAACAAAGGAACACATACTAGACTAAGTCCAAAGTGATTTTCTTGAGTGGGATCTTAAGATCTCTACACTCTAAACATATAACCAGTGCTACAATAGCTTAAAACATAATCATGCTTTAGGAAAAATGCACAAACACAAGAGTAAACCAAACATTTCAGACATATGTTTCATGGTGTAATTTTTCCAAAATATAAAAATACATTGAATCTTTTGTAATTAAAGCATCTGAAAGTTAAACAGAGATTCCATTCATTTCTATTTGTTAATTTTTAACATGTTTTTTTCATATCTTGTGACTTATTAAAACTAGACTCAGGCGCTCCACACACATCTTGAAAAAGCACTCACAAAAAAAATGCAGGCATTGATCCACCTGTGTGAGGTTATGTTTCGATCAGATACCATCAGACTTGGCCTCACAAACAGGCTCTAGTTTCAACTGCCACAGTCAGAAACACCTGGGATGTGAAAAAAAAAACTAAAAAAGGCGCCACTTCCAATGCAAAGCAGTAAACTCCTGAGGATTACTTCTTTTGTTCCTGTAGCTTTCCCCAAAACTCCCAGTAAACCGTCTTCGTGAAGTCAACCATAAGGCGATGGAGCGCTCCTTTCTTCTTCAGGCGTAAGAAATCATCTCAGAGTTGACAAAAGAAGAACCTTCAGTTACTCTCGTTTCTTTTCAGCGTCATGTTCTGTATCCAAAGCTCTTCTTTTCCAAATATCTAAAAAAAAAAAAAAAAAAACATTTTTGTTGAGTTTTTTTTTTTTTCTTCATTCTGAAAAACAGATATAATTCATCAGGAACAGCTGGATTAACACAGAGACGTAGTGGTTTCTCTCTTCTCTTCACAAATAAACATACTGGGTTTCGTTTGCATTTTGAAAATTGTAAAATAGTTAATATAGCCACTAACTCAATAACAGTGCCGCTGTTTTACCAAATTTTTCTGAAAGAAATAAAATACAAAGGCTTGTAACACCTATTATGTTTAAAATAGCAACATAATGCAGTCTTAATCCAAAACTTCACTGGGATTACCTTGTAAACTAAAACTGAATCAATAAATTCAATAAGGGTCCAAACCCATTAAACTGCTTTTCTGAAAAAGGTTTAATTTTCCACTCTTTTCCATTATATGTGATGTAAATCTTATGAAGACTAATGTTATAGTGACTCACTCTTACCACTTAACAACAAGATAAATAGTCATTAGTGCATCAAAGACTATTATCTTCATCAGAAGGAGCCGCATATACAGCACAACCACAGCGTTCGTCCTCACAGCAACATCTGGAGACCAAACCAGACTTAAACATGTTGAATCTGCTTAGCACACCAGCAAATTATCAGTGAGAAACTTTCACAATGTTTTACCTTCTCTCTCTTCATCACTGTCGCACATTTCATCTTCACCTTTAGGAACAGAAGATTTGGAAACTAACTCAAAGTGTTGTTGCACCAAGTTCATGACTAAATTAACTCAGTTACCTGTTGAGGCGATGCGGTGTCTTTTTTTGGCTTTTGAGTGTTTCCTGCGGCGCACAGAGCAGCTGTAGGATGGCCAGTTGCTGGTGACAACCGTGATCGTCGCCACGGCGCTGTGGCCACGATGCTTCCTGGTTACTGCGCCATTGTATGGAGTGACGTTGGTGTACTCCTCATCAGAGGCTGACCTCCAGCTGATCTCCAGGTGACCTCTCCTGAAGTCACTCACCACACAGACCAGCAGGGTCAGGCCGAGCCTCTCCCCTGAGAGATGGACTGGAGGGGCCAGAGAAGCCAACACAGTGCCCTCCACCCCCCCTGATGCAGGAAAAGGTCATAAAGGTCAACAAAGTAAACTAAAACAAAACAAGGAAAATAAAGGAGGCTGCAAGAATGAGTGGCACACGCTCAAAAAATTTCCCTTAATTGCAAAGATGAAGAAATTAATGAATTAATTAATAGTTTTGTAGAGCAAAAAACCAAGGATTAAAAACAGGCAATGACAAAAAAAAAAAAGGAACTAAATAAACCCTAAGCATCTTAAAATCGATTCCAAAAATGAACAATTAGCCAATGACTTGAAAATTGGCGCAATGTGATACCACTACGCTTAATTGTGCATCAAACATTATTTCTAAAAATGAAATGCACAAAACACAGTTTTGAATTAGCTAAATAATGCTGGTAATAATGTATCATAGAGTGTGAACACTGTAAGAAGCAGCAGCATATTTCTGCAAAAACACATTGTATATATATTTTTTTATTCACTTGCATAAAGAGGATAGTTAAAGGTCTCACCTGTCCATAGATAAATGATATGAAGATAAATGAGTCCTCTGGGTGGCTCAGTCATTTCTAACCTGCAGTCAATCTGACTTTTATGAACCCTGGTCAGTGCTCTCTGTATGTGTGGGTTTGTGCGTGTTTGTGTGCCTTGTATGCGGGTGCATTAAAAGAGGGCTTTGCCAGGAGCGTTGCATTGTGGGGGATTGGCATGTCTCATTGTTGTGACCTTATACTAACAATGGAAACTCCATGCACCATCCCAACACACCCACAAAACCCAACACCCAGAGACCCAGACGGAGGAAGGGAGAAAGACAATATAACACAAGTTAAACATGTCAAGCTGTGTTAGGATTCATTAAGCTACAGCAAAGTGAGGGGAAGGCATTAGGAATAATACTGAAACACCTGGACAACCGCCTGCGTTTGGCTGTTACGTCTGAGGTGAGATAATATCAGCAACACCTGCACACACACACACACACAGACACACACGCAGGTCTGTAAACCAATAAATATGAACACATAATTAATTTAGCTTCTTTCCGCAACATTTTTTAATTTATAAGAAAACATTGTTGCCTATATCTTTACATCTGTAACTCCTCTTCTCTCTCTCTCTCTCTCTCTCTCTCTGTCTCTCTGTCTCTCTCTCACACACACACGCACCCACACACACACACACTCACACCCTCATGTAAAGAGTTCTTTTATTTTCAGTGGGCGGTATCTTAGAAAAGAAAGTGAAACTGAACAGCAGGAGCATCAAGGAAGCATGATGAAGCTAAACTGATCGAGGTAATGCTTTTTGTTGGTAATTATACAAATCTCCTACAGCAGGAGCAGAGAGTTCTACCTCAATTCTAAAAATCTATTCAGGCTGTGGAAATCTCAGAGGCTGTGACTGATAGCTTTAAATAGTAAGTTTGGTACAGTGCAGCTTTAAGACTGTTCCTGCAACCTGATTTGAACTGTAGCTGCGCTCCGGCAGCTGCTGTCACCTTCGTCCCTCTTAGCTCCGTCCTCTTCTTTCTTTCTGACCACATGGTTCGTTTTTGCTCACATGTTTGAATCTCTTAAAGGAAAGACTAGCTGTGGTCTGTTTTTCAGCCGAGCTCTTATGTGCCATAATTAACTGAGCATGTGCTCAGTACGGCCCAGTTATTCTTAGCAGTTTTTTTTCCCCACCTGCTCCGAGAGAATAATTTAGTCTACTTATTTTGGGCACTCAGAAATTTGTTTCATAGCTACATAAGTGTTCAAAGTAAACAAAATATCCAATAGTCACGTGTTTATGGCACCACAGTTAAGTTATGTTTTGTTTATCTTTTTTTTTATTTATTTATTTTTTGTAATGTCACTTTAAGACAAGTCACATCCAGTCTTACGTAAACAAAAAAAAAAGAGTTTGGTATATTAAAATTGCCTAATTTACTCAAATATAATCCAGTCCTAAAGTCCAAGTTACCACAGGGCAGATCATAAAGTAATCCGAATTAAATTTAAATATGTAGATACATTGGAAAGGAACATCAGCTTTTAGCAGGAAGTATTCTCCAGCAGAATAAAGATGAGCACAGAGCCATGATCCATGTCTGACTGAGGGTCAAGGAAACAGGAACAAGATGTAAAAACAGAATGGGTGAATTTCTTTTGAAAGAAAGACTGTGTAGAGTTACCGGCAGCAGTAGCTGTGTAAATGTCTCTGACAAGGAAAGAGAGACAGATAAACATGTAAACACTGAGCCAGGAGTTTTTTCTGCAGGAAGAAAAAACACAAAATCAATTCTGTTCTTTCTTTGTTGGAGCAGGAGCTCTGCCACAGTGTATCCCACCCCAGAACAGTTTGATACATTTTCCGTAAACTTGTTTATAAATGCAGCTATTTGTATCTTCACAATCTTAATTTCGGTTCACTGAACCTCCTCTAAAATAGTCTGAAGTCCTGCGAGAGGTTTGTCACAACAGTAAAATTAATATATGCACAGTTACCTTTTATTTCAAGAGACATATTTTACATTTTCTTCCATTGTTTGTGTCTTTCAGGTTCAAGAGAAGAATCCCGGAGGAGTACCCATTTTATTTTCATTTCATCAACCACTGATGTCGGGTGGTCCTTACCGCGGTTGACTCCAGTGTTCGGGTTATGATTAAATGAGTTCGGAGCTGAGAGTCGACCTGTCAAACGGGTTGGCGTCATTTTAATCAATTTTGTTCTCAAACATTCCCTTAACAATGATTCCAGTCGGGTTTTTAGTGCTGCTGGCTTTCAGTATTCATCTGGTTGGGTCTCAGCCCTCTCAGAGCTCACAGCAGGTAACGAGTCCCCCCAGTCCCACGGCAGAACCTCTGGGCGATGGTAATCTGTCCTTCCCCTGGAGCCGTCTTCGCCTCCCAAGGTAGGCTCTACATTTTCTCTCGCCACACTGCAGAAGCAGATGGGAAAGACTTTGACTCTACACTTTGACTAACTCACTAATTAGCCGTCGTGTTTCTGTGCCTCAGGTACATTGTTCCTCTTCACTACCACCTGCTTCTGCACCCCAACCTCACAACTCTGAGCTTCACTGGCACCGTGCAGATCCAGATCGATGTCCAGAACAATACAAACTGGGTTGTTTTACACAGCAAGGGTCTTCAAATCTCTAAGGCCACAATTTTAGACCAGAACCTTAATCATCTGTCTGATCAGGTAGTTGGAAATACAAGGCAGGATCAATTTTATTTACTATCTCCTGTCGGCTTAACAATCTTCTCCTGTTTTAGGTTCTTCCAGTTCTTCACAACCCTTCCCACGAGCAAATAGGCATTTTTTCTCCAAGGGTTCTCAGCAGCGGCCAGAAGTATTTCTTGTACATGGAGTTTGAAGCAGAGCTAGCAGAGGGATTTTACGGTTTCTATAAAAGCACCTACAGAACCAGTGAAGGCGAGACCAGGTGAGAACAGGTTTTCTGCTTCTCGGGGTCATTGGAAAACGTAGCCAACACACACCGTCTGCAACAATGTATTTTCAGATTCCTAGCTTCCACTCACTTTGAACCCACAAGCGCTCGAATGGCATTTCCTTGTTTCGACGAGCCGAGCTTCAAAGCCAATTTCTCTGTGAGGATCAGGAGGAGCCGGGACTACATTTCTCTCTCCAACATGCCAGTAGTGAGTGCTGAATCTTTGAAAAATGTCGCAGATGTTTCAAACATTGATGGAAAAAAAGACCTCCAAGTTCTCCTGGGTTTCAGATCAAGACAGTACAACTGAATGGTGACCTTCTTGAAGATCAGTTCGCCCCGAGCGTAATGATGAGCACGTACCTTGTAGCTTTCATCGTTTGTGACTTCAAGTCTGTCAGTGCAATGACTTCGTCTGGAGTGAAGGTCTTCATGATCCTCTACCCTGCTGTCACTTTTCTTTTGGCTTGAACTGTCTGGTTCAACAGCTTGGTTTTGATTTCCCTGTAGGTTTCCATCTATGCTGTGCCTGAGAAGTGGATGCAAACCCACTACGCTTTGGAGGTAGCTGTTAAAATGCTGGACTTCTATGAGGAGTACTTCAACATTCGTTATCCTTTGCCCAAACAAGGTACTCAATAATAATTCCCTTTGTTATTTCTTATGTCTAATCTGTTACTTTTGTTCTTTATTACATATTTTTTCCTCTTCCAGATCTGATTGCCATTCCAGACTTCCAGTCTGGTGCGATGGAAAACTGGGGCCTGACCACCTACAGAGAGACCAGCCTTCTCTATGACCCCCTCACATCCTCCATTTCTGATAAACTTTGGGTTACTATGGTCATTGGTCATGAACTTGCCCATCAGGTGAAACCATGAAAATAACAAAAAAAAAAATTAAATTAAAAGTTGCTCTTTACTTTAAATAATAGGGGCTTAGATTCTCCATCTTGTCTGCAGTGGTTTGGGAACTTGGTAACCATGGACTGGTGGAACGACATCTGGCTGAATGAAGGATTTGCCAGATACATGGAATACATTTCCGTGGAGGCCACCTACCCTGACCTCAAAGTGGTATTTACATTAATAACTTAAAGATAAATCAGTAGAAAGCCACCAACAGGTGTTTGTGATTAATTGTTTTC